TAGCAAACAATTTCTCGTGGGTTGTGTGTTCTATACAAAGACACAGTGATGTAGTCCTTAACAGCAGTGTTAAACAATGTGCATAATGTATTTTGTGACATAAAGAAGATATGTTTGGTAGTTCGTCCTACGTGTTGAGCTTTATATCTGGTACTTGGAACTCAAAAGTTTGTTGCGCATTTAGATAGCACATTAAATTATACACAGAATGTGCAGACAATAAATAATTTACAGAAATGCAAAATTAATTTAAATGCATTTAGAAAGGTTCTGCTATCTTACATTTTATACATTTTTATTCTTATTTATTATTTCATAAATGGTAATTGTAGGTATTTTTTTTTATTGATAATTATTATATAAATTTGGACGTAGAAGCTTTACATGCAGCTAAATGTACATTACTTAATGTCGATGTTACAATTATATTTATTGTTGACGAATTACGTTAAATACGTATTATGTAATCACTAACAACACAAATTTGACAAAATTTATTGGAAAGTCTGAATCTGGTCGGTTACATTAATAATCATCCACTTCAATCGATACATACTTTTTTTTATTCCGAAGGATTCTTGTAGTTATTTTGAAATGTTTAAAATGTTTTTTCTCAAATAAATACAGTTTACAAAGCAGTTAAATGAGGATAACATTTATCAAAAATCAAGATTATTTTAACTTGATGATTTAAATGGCTACAGTTAAAATAAAAAGTAATCAGTATTTAATATTATTTTATTATTAATTGGGGTTGTACATTTTTATTGCCGATAATACCCTGTCACAAGTAAATATATGGATATAAAAGTTATAGATCAATTTGTTGCATTTAATTGTATTACATTTTACTTGATAGGTAGTTATTATAAATATAATGTTGAGCAGTAGAGCAGCATCAGTGTTTCGAGTTATTATACGATTACTTAATATAGTGAATTCTATCTCAGTTTTTCAATAGTGGTTTTTATACATCTTCACTTTAATTTAATAATTGCATACAATCTAAGATCAACAAAATAAATCATGTAAATATTATAATAAAAATTAATATGTTATATTCAGAGAGTCGAACCGGAACAGAACTGGAAACCGGAAAACTTTAACTAATTTAAATTCTTTTTTTTTTGGATTTTCAACCGGACTGAACCGCAACCGTAACTGAACCGACATTAGATGAACCGAAACCGAATCTGGAACGATAAACATTTACTTGGAACGTAACCGTAAACCGGAACGAAATTAATTTCGGTTCAACTCTCTGGTTGTATTATTATTTCATGAACATTACCTGATTTTTCTTAAATGTACAAATTAATCTTTTTACTCATAGTTTTTTTTTATTGAGAATCAACTCGGTGATTTGGTCATAATATCAAGTGCCTGGAATATTGTTGATTACATTAAAGTACGTATATATGCAAGGAATTTAAGTTTAACCGATTTAGTATAGAAGTAGAACATTTTTCTTTTCCCCCCGGAAAAACAGAAATCTGTTGAATTGCCAGGAATGACCCTCTACTTATATATTTTGATTATAATTGTATGTAGGAGAGATAAATAAAGCAATTAATTTTAGGAAACTGAAACGAATATTGTTATGTAATTATGTAATATATAGTGTAAATAATAGAGAGATCAAAGCATACGATCAATTTGAAAGAGAATAGTTTGGATATAAGCGAAAGTCTAAAAATTTATTGTTATTGAGTTCTCTCCACTGTAATCTCAAGGAATGTATCGGACCAGACATGTTTATTGCAATACGTCTTGCAGACATTTATTCTTGTTCACGAGAGAGTTCGATTTGCATTTCGCAATTAGTTTGATTTGTTTTCTGTTACGCGGGGCGCGCGATATGTCTCTCGGCCGGAGGGATGCCGAACAAAATAAAAATATAAAAGTACAAGAGTAACTGAACACGTTCGGAATTGATAGCACTGCATAAACAATTTGCAATTTATTTCACCCGCGGCTGGCGCTGATGTCGCTAGACAATAAATCATCGATGTATTTCCAGCTTTATGCACTTGTCGCCGACGATTATAGGGCCCACGATAAATCTGCATCCCATCAATTTCATACATATCAATTTACCATCGCAGTCCGACCAAAGCGTTGGTTGTTCATTTGCACTAATCAAAAACTCGTTACTGCAGTCTTTGATTTTTCTTTCTTCTTGGGTTAGTACGGCTCCTATTCTAACTAGACGCTGCAGGAAGACGGTTGGCGCGACGTGCATGCACAATAATAAACATACAACGATCTGGTCCTATAAAAAACGTATATTATTATCACATTTGGTTTCCTCTGCACTTGCATTGCTTGATTTTATCATAAGCCTGCTCACTAACAAACAAGATTTCTAAAAACTTTAACTTGATACAAAAGAGACTACGAGATAATATGCTCGATTTATTGTAGATATAATTGATACTTGCAGTTTAATAAAATGACAGAAGTGATTCAAGTAGAAAAATCTTATAATTGATGATACATTTATGGTATAGTACAAATACTTCTCGACTTACAACGTTATTTTGGACGTAAATGTAAATGCGTCATCATAATGCGTCTTCGATCACTCTGAACTAAATTTTAAATGAGCAAAATAAAAATTAGTACACAATTTTAATTTTTTTATATCTTAGTCTCTTTTTGTGTGGTTTATTTTTGTATCTACGTATTTAGTTTCTCCATCAGTCCTATTTTATACAGTCTCGGATATTGCTTGGACTAATTACATGTACATCAAAATTAATAGCTTTTATTTTAGATTTATTTATTATAAGTGCAAATAGTTATAAATCTGAATATTGTATTTATTTAAAATTAGTTATTTGTAGTTATTTTTTTCTTATTATTCCAGAAACACACTAGAAGCAGAAGTATCTCGGACTGTTTGAACAGTTTGATGATGTTCATTCGAACTAATTAACACTAGAACAAAACATTCTAGTTAAAACTAGAAAAAAAACCTGACTTAAAAAAATGAAGAGTAGCGGAGGAGTAACATCCCGATAGAAAATTGTGAAAGCGGAATTTGCGGCCCAACTAACGCTGTTTGGGGTAATACTCATAATTCGAGTAACGCTACTGCCCAACAAAATTCAAAGGACTAAATTGTTTAATCCAACAAAATCCTATGCTCAAATATTTTCATTTACATTTTTAAATTTCTCGTGGCACATAGTTTTAGAGACATTATTTCCCAAGTAAAAATGAGAAAAATATTAACTTAGATTGGGAAACCTTGGTCTAGTGGCACATTTTATCCGCTGTATCATGTATTCTTTCTTGTATTTTCCACATAAAATACAAAAACATATAGTACAGGTACAGAACAAAAACATATAATTTGTTCAAAATTTGATTCAAAAGTAGTCAAATCAATTTTTCTCACTTCATATTTATGCCCGGGGTCTCAAAATCTAAAGGACGGCACTGCTATTTACTAAGGAGAAGTAAAGTAGAGAGAACTAACAAAAAATATTCATAAACTTTTACTTCATCCCCAGTTGACCCACATCCGCGCTGAACTTTTGTTTCTTGCGAAGGCTCTTTCCTTGTTGCTTCGCTAATTTGAAACGCAAATGTTGTCATGGCGCATAGCACTAAATGGGACAGATAATGCCGAATCACGTTAAGTACACGAAATTTGCATTCTCACCATTAATGCCTGAGCAAGTAGCGTATGTGTATATGTTCAGTTTCGAACGGTTCGTATGTATTCTTCATCTTGAGATGTATTTTAGTCACCACAAAAAAAATATACAAGAATCTCAAAAGGTTCTTCAAATATTCTGCGACAAACGCATTAGATTTTTATAATTGCAACAGTTTATTTTTCAAAACTTTTTCATATTGCATTCCATAAAATGAGTGGAAAATGTTGAAAATTAAAGTAGTTGTACACTATATCTATAATATAGATTTAGATCATATATTTTTATATTTAAATAACTTCTAAATTACCTATATTGTTATTGCGAAATTATTAATATTTAGTCAAAAATATTTGATTTCAACAAAGATCTTTATTAAGGTTTATATGCTATACGTATTAGACTTTTTTGATAGTTTGTATTAGTAGAATCGAATTAAATATATTCACATAAAACACATATGCGGAAATCTTCGTATAACAAAGTATTTCAACTATTTAACGTATGTAGGGTTTTACACTGCACAGAACCTATCTACCGTGTTATACCTGTATCAGATATCTATTTTTTCGTCACAGGTCCATATACTGATACTATTATGTTTTAGTTTAACTAGATCAATTTTATATAATCATAAGTTTTCGATATTATGTGTAATTTAATCACGAATGTACATTTGGTTGCCTATAACAATTACATATTAATTCTTGCGTTGTTCGTTGTATGTTCTCAATTAGTCCAACCAAATGAATAAACAAGAATAAAGGCGGGTTAATTTAATTTCTTGAAATAGAATCCAGGACTCGATAGTAAAGTTCTAAATACGGACATGCTGTAGTATAAATTCAGCTACAAGTAGCCCTACTGGGATTCGGCATCGAAGGTAGTTTTGTCTTTCGGCAAATTTGATCTGAGTTCACCACATAAAATAGCAATTTGCTTGTCGGAGGAGCGAAAATCGAAGATAATATGAAATAATGTGCAGGTTTATGAATCATCCACACCTGACTGAAGGCAAAAAAGAACAATGCAGTGAAGGGGTGGCGAAAACGAAAATGCGTTATGAATGTGCATCTAAATATAGAATTCTTAGGTTGAGACTGTCGTGTGCTAAATGCAAATTCGTTCGCGTTTTCTGAATGAATGGACTCGTGCCCCGGCCTTGGCCTACATTCCTGCTGGATTTACTACCCCAAAAAAAGGACCTAGAGTTTAACTGTTCCCGGCAGCAGGTGGCACCCTCTGCACACCCTGTATCGATCCGTAATCCTGGAATCCCGGACCGCACAAATTTTGTTACCTTAAATCTATAGAGTAAACATCGCATCGTAGTCTTTCCTTTCTTTTTTTATTATTATTTAAAATTTGTATAAAATGTATTACAAAAGATCTGTACAAAATGTATTTTAATACTCTTCAGCCGGATTCATTTCGCTATGGATGAGATTTGAATGAGATACGGATTTGCTTGACATATTTGGCATATTTCTGAGTTTCATTTCCAACCTGAACAGCAAGATAAAAACGAGTATGTTCATCAATACAATGAACGGGTACACGATATAGGATGTGGCAAACGATCCACTGGTTTCTTCTTCGTCTGCGTATACTTCTTCGGGCACTGGTTGTTTGTCTTTGCTTGGAATGCAACTGTCATTCCTCAGGAACCCGTCTACAGATAACTTAATGTTGTCTTCAAGGAAGTAGTTGTCCAATTCAGTAATCAAATCACATGTGAAGTAGTTTCCAATCAAATTCATGTAAGTGACGCGAGGCATATGATAATACATGACTTTGTAGTCGAGATCAGTCAAATTATTATATCCTAAATCGATGGTATGCAAGCTGTGCAATGCCATGATGCCAGTCCGTTTCACGAAAGTAATTGTATTGTGCGAGATGTTCAAGTATCTCATTTCGGGCATACCACCAAATAGTCCCGTTTTGAAGAATTGAAGTTTGTTGTAAGCCAATGTCAAATCCCTTAACTGGGTCAATCCTAAGAAAGTACCTTTGTTAATATGCTTTATTTTGTTTCTTTCTAAATTCAGAACTTCTAGTTTATTTAAACCATCAAACGCCAACGGTTCGATGTTCTCGATGGCATTATTTGAGAGATCCAGTGTTTCCAAGTTGTGCAGCGTTATCAAAGACTTAGCTTCCAAGGTTGCAATCATATTGTTTGCTAAATTCAACTGAACGAGGGTCGAAATGTTGGCAAAATCTAAAGATTTAATCGTCTCGATTTCATTGTTTTCAAGATTGACTTTAAGTATTTTAGGTAAATGGTTAAAAACGTCCTTGATTTCTTTAATTACATTATGACCTAAATTAAGATCGGTGAGCGAATATAAACCTTCGAATGCCTTACTGCCAATAGTTTTAATTTTATTACTTTCTAAGTTCAATGTGGTCAGATTGAGGAGTTCCTTAAATCCGGACGCGACGAGCACCGATATCGAATTGTTGGACATTTGAAGATTCCTAATTTTCTTGGTTCCTTTGAAGACTCCGGGATAAACCGCCGAAATCATATTGTTCTGCAAAAATAGATTCCTGAGAAAGACGAGTCCAACAAAGGCGGAGTCTTTCAACGTAGTGATCTTGCTGTTCTGCAAGTCCAACGTCTGAATCTCATTTCCAGAAAGATCAAAAGCATTGGACTCGATGATTTCTAAATTGCAATTGATGCACCTGACCGTTTCGTCGAGGCTGTCAAATCTGTAGCTTGTGGCTCGGAAGAAGGTCGAAGTCGCATTGACGCAAGTTGCTGTCAGGGAGCCCCTCTCGCCGTACGTGCATTTCATCAGTTGTCCATGGCTGCAGCACAGAAGCAGCGTGACAAAAAATAACGTCTGGAAAATGAAGATAAATAAATATGTTGTAATAATAACAATCTGTAGATGCAGTGACCTGAACCGATAAATCATGTAATCTTATCAGAATTGACTAAATAATGCACACAAATATAGGAGATTATCGATAAGAGGAGATGAAAGAAATGAAAACATATGCGAGCACTTTTTGCATAACTCCTAGTATTCTTTATAGAATACAAAAAAATATATGTAATACGATTTTTGTCACCGGCGGAATCGTGAAAAGGACGCGTGCGGAGGAAGTGGTAAATTTGGGAGCGAGGACGCGAGTGCAATTATAAATTACTCCAATTTTGGCATCTTCTGAAATAGTATAACGAGCAAACAAAGGAAGCTTAAACTAAAACAAAGCGTGTCCGTTGTTTATGCTTGCTAAAAGAACAGACGCAGACAATGAACAGCACACGCAGCAATGACCACAAAAAATGCATCAACATAAAAAAAGACAAATAAATAAAAACAAAACGTATTCAACATATTGCTTACTTGAACCCGCAGCATCCCGTTCGTTTATGAAATCTGTATTCTATTTAAATTCCTGAATGTGCCGAAGGATCACATCAACTTCCTTTTTGTGCACCTCGAACAAAACCAAAAACGCAACTGAACTCTGTGGCTACTCAATATAATATGTGAAACTTTCCGTGTATGTGGATGCTTGTGTGCTTGCTTTGTGAATGTGTCAGTGTTGCTGTGACTGTTAATTTTCTAAAACAGATTTCAAGAGTGAATGATAATCACGAAATACGCTTCAATAATAATAAACGTTTCACTCGTTATCAACGCGACTTAACCAAATAGAATTTCCATCTTTGGCGATAGCCGCAACGAACTATAAAATGTCTGCAATTTTTTTACCAATTACGAAATTCGAAAAGTCAGTAAAAATGATGACGTTGCGTTCCTCAATTTTCTATTGATTAATTAGTTTTAATTGAATGTTCCTTATTTTCTGTAACGTCAACACTTTCAATTACAAAAAGCAATGATTCACGCTGTTCCTTCATAATTTAATCATTCATAAACTACTATTTAGACGGAATTATTTCAGGATGAATAAATAAAACTGCTACTATATACATATAGCAAAGATAAAATAATAAATAATGAGCGAACTGAGCAGAGCCAGATCTAAATTTAGTATTTATATCGTGACAAAGAGATTTGCACTACATTAAGAATAGGTTAAATTATTAAAATATTTTAAATACTTTCATCGCAATCGCAAATACCAATATGTACAGGTTTCTTTACATTTTAGAGATGCTCGGTTATATGGATAGGAGAGGAATCTTCGAAGTTAAAAAAAAAAACAAGTCTACAACGGCGGTAATCACACACAATACAGAAAGAGAGATAAAGAGGAAAACAGAGAACCTTACTGGATAGATTGCCAGAGGCAAATAAGCAACATTAATTGCATTTTAATAATTCTTTATTATTTTTAAAAAGGCTTTAGTCTCTTGCGGTCTTCAGAAAAATATAGAAGATAAACAGAATTTGAAATGAAGGAAAACTAAGAACTAGATAATGATAATGATAGGACAGTGATAGAAGAACATAACATAATAGAAACATACAAATTTAGAAAACATAACTTAAAATTAGGGGAAAATAACTTAAGACTTCTCCGGGCAGAAAGACCTATGGTCAATAGCCCTTTGTATCAGTTGACTTTTTTAAAATTATATATATTTATTTTGTTCTTTTTATTTCTGTATATGTTTTTTTTTGTGCGACTTATGCAATAAACATTATTATTATTAACTTAAGACTAACACCGGAAAATAGTGTTGTTGCACTAGAGTTCCGGAGCACATTAGATCACTGAGTAACATGACAGGGCGACAAAGGTGCTGTGTGTTTAGGTAAGCAACGTTAAACATATGTTAACCCCTTATATACACTTGAGAGGCAGTACTGGAAAAATGTAAATTAATTTCTAAACTCAAAAAGAACATTAAATAACAATTATTTGTATCTTATTTGTCAACTTGAGACAAATACAAATATAGTCAAATAGAACTTCGTCGGATTGTCATCAAATATTAATACTATATACAGAGCTATTCTAAATTATTTGTTTAAATTATTAAATATTTTTAATTATAAAAAACACACAAACTTAATAGCAATACATTTTTTTACATGCAGTTAAAAATTTTAATATGAGTAATATTTCCTTACAAATATTGCAAATTATAAATATATGTATGAATACATATCACAAATATTTAATAATCCTAAGATATTAATCTTTTCCGAATAAAGTACAAATATTTATTTTTATATTGAAAAGAAGATTACAGGTTTCTAAGATTTGATACAATAAATGAAGTACTAGTAAAGAGCAAAATGAATTGTAAGAAAAATGACTCGCTTAACGAGCAACGTTTCGCATAAGGAGTGACGAGGAGAAGAGAAGTCCAAGATTGTGCGCCTGCTACATCAAACTTGAGTATTTTTAATATGTTTCACTATGCGAGTAAAAATTCGGAAATTTTGGAACGGATTAAACTCGTTAAGCGAGGTTCCACTGTACTTAAATAGTTGCTTTATGATTTGTAGACATATCAGTTGAAAAAAAAATTATGAGCGGATGGATGAAATATCGGTAGTGGTTTCGGGATTTCCCTAATCTACGGAGCAGATGTCTCGAACTCGAAAATACACGATTGTGTTGAAATTCGTATGACGTTACATTTTATTTAATTCCATGTAGGTTTTAAAGTTATATATTAAATATTGAATAATTGTTTTGTGCTCTTAGTCAAAATAATTCAATTTCAATTATCTATTCGTAGATAAAATAATAACAACTTGATGTTAATAAATATAAATAATTTATTTTAAATAGTTTTTAGTTAAATAAAGTAAAATATATATATAATTTACGAAAGGATTTTTAATAATGAAATATAATAATTTATAAATGCTAATCTCTAGCATTTAAACATAACTTTAAATATCTTTAAAAGTTCTTTATATCATGAACACAATTTGATTATACATAAGAATGTTTTTTGCACATAGGAATAATTTGCATAATAATGCAATTTTTCAATCAGTTATCTTTATATCTTAGGGAAAGTTTAACGAATCCTTACAATACTTTATATAAAATAAATTGTCATGAGTAATTTGTCGCTTTCTTTTTCTTTCATTAAGCAAATGTTGGTAGCAGGCGATTGAATCCAAAAGAAAGAAGAGGAGGCTTTTGCACTTCTGTCAAAATTTTGATAATTCGCTACAATTTGATCAACGATTTCGGTTATTGTTTCTAAACTTTTCATAAGAAAATCTGTAGTTGGTTATTTGTCTTCATAATCAGTATTTTTGCGTTCTTCAATTTAGTTCTTAAAGGTCGTCGTCCGTAAGGCTCACACCAGAAACCTTAATATCATGCTCATCTACATCTCAATGTACTTGTTTGAGTGGTACATATTTGAGAATAATCAATGAAATGCCTCGATAATTTGAATCCGGTTATATTTTGAGTTTGTTTAGCGCTAAATGAGGTCTTACTATACATTGAAATAAAGTTTAGACACTAATAATTTGTGACAAGTATCGGAGTAATTATAAAGTTTTGCTATCAATTAATTTCTGCAGACCATTTTTTAAAAGTTAAAAAAATGGTCTGATAAATACGTACTATATGAAGTTGACATAATTTATAATTTAGCGAAGTTGCAAGTGTGAAAATAAGATATGTTATAAATAATATTCAAACATTTTAGTGAATTGGTTAATTAGATATTATAAGTTGCTTTCAGATTAAACTAAAACGAACCGATTATATCTGAAATGGATTCAATTTATCTCTAGCGCACGAAAGCAAACACTTTTCTTAGTATAACATAACAAACATAAAAACTTTCCGAATCATTATCTATGTCTAACCGATCTCCACAAAAATTAAGCCACTATCAGCCGCGTTTTAATATTGCATAAGTGAAAATAAATTTCTATATGTTTTATAATGTAATTAAATGTATGCAATAATGAACATGGAACTATATGTGAACTATTGTTGAGTCAAAATCAGATTAAATTAGAGAGAGTAATAATTAATAACAAATTAATTATTTATCTTAAAAAAATAAGAGTACAAGTGTATCTTAAAATTTGATATTAAATGAAGTAAATATATAAAAGAAAAATAAAAACACATATAATTGACATAAACAATTGCTCTTTGTGTATAGCTTATAGAAGCAAAAATCTACAAAGTATTTAAAAGCTTTGTGTTGATATGACAATTTAGTTATATAATGCAGAGATCGTTCACCACAGCTGTCATTATGTATAGCATTGGAATAAAAACAAATTCAGGAAGAGGTGGGCCATCAAGGTTATCGTTATCAAAAAACTGATTTTTTTAATTCATCATTAAATTAATTAATAGGTTCATCGATGTCTTGTATAGATGCTATTTGATAAATCGATACTAACATTTTAATTCGATTTCTGTGAAGTACTTCTGTGAAATGTAAGATTTTTGATTAAATTAAGAGTAAATTTTGGCAAATTCAATTCTCTGTAGTTCATATTCATTTCTAAATTTATTAGTTTTAAATAAATTAAGTAAAACGTGTTTTTGAGCTAAATAAATAATTTCTTTAAATTTGTAGAAAATCGTTGAAACTTCAGTTTATTATTACTCATCAACAACCAAATTCAATATATATATATTTTTTAGATTTTAATTATAGCGTGAAAGCATACAAAAAATAGTTAAAAATAGTTTAATAACATTTTTCAAATTTTAGTAGTTTTTCAAATTGCAAAGATCACTTTGTTTTTTTGCTCCGAGTTTCTTTTTTGTTATAAATATACACATATATATTTATCTTATAAATTTTCTTTTATTTTTACAGTGGCTTATTTTTATGTTTTGATAGCTTACTATCACTTTATATTGTTACTTCCTCATTTTTCTCTGACACAAACTTCATATATAATATCTTGCATAGTGCGGGTAATTGGTTTAACCAATATCGCGGACTGTTTGAAACCGGACTAACCGACAGACTAAATAAATACAAAAATAAAATACCCAACAAGTGACTTACTTGACTGGAGAAAACGATAATTTCTAAATAAGAAAATTATTTTGTGTACTAATTTTTTAGAATTTATTTGTCTTTTGCTCAATTAAAGCTGTTTTGAAATTATAGTAAATCCGGAGTATGCAAGGTATTGCTGTATTATTTTTAATATACGACCGATCCAAACTGGAATCAAACTCATTGTACAGAAACGCCACTTTTTGTAACTTTAATGTTTTTGGACAAGACGCCTTAATAAAATACGATTATGGAAAACAGATAAAAAAAAACAGTTCGTTATTTCCTGTTTGATTACGGACTAGTTGAGGAAATGATAATTAAGTTAAGCCCCACTATTCACTTATCAAATTATTCTCTATCATATTAAAATTGTTTTCCACATGGGAAAGATTCCACATTGCACCAAATATAAAATAAATAAGATAACAGACTGCACTTATTGAAAATATATTTATTTATCTTCTTTTTTTATATATAGATGGAATAAGCTTATGCAATAGCTATTTCTTAATCGATCTTAATCTTGATTCAACTACATTGCAGGTGTATATATAAAGCAGGTAACCCAATTTATATCATTTTTATTTGATACCTGTAAATATGAGAACGGTTTTGATATTATTAGTGCTCATTTATTGGGCTGCTGGTAAACCTCTCGAGGCGGACACTAGAAGCGAAAAAAAATGTGGATATCAAGTAAGTTTCCATTCGGTTTACTAATTTATAATTAGACAAATACACTTGTTGTTTTTTCAATTATTTATTTTGATTGTCACGCAAAGTTACCATCTAATCTTAACTTTAGGCAATGTTATTTGGATTAAAATAGTCTAATAGCAAATTGCGAAGCCTTGATAGGTTTATCGTTATGTTTAATTAACCCTGTATGATCTTTGTGAAACACTTAATTTACACATTTGTTGCAAGATGTAACGACGATCGTTCTTTAACGATTTATTTGAATTGTGTATAATTGAACAAATAATTGTGTGAGTGCAACTAAATAGTATATGGATTGTTTGATAACACTAAAATAACGTAACCTTTGGACCGCATCCGGCATGTAAGTTCCATAGTTGGTTGGTACTGTTTAGGATTAGATATAATAATTGCTCATCATTTTACGCAGCTAGACTGATATATTATTTACTGAAAACTAAATTAATTTAAATTAAAATATATTTAGCCCTTTGGTTATATGTATTCAAGAACTATATAGAATTGTCGTTTTTTTTTGGACCTTTTTATTTTCTATTTATTTCTTAAACTCTGCTCAAAACAATAATTCTTAGTTCATAATTATTTTGTTTTCATTATTGACTTGTTGATTGCATTGTTATATTAGTTCAGATAATTCAAATCATTATAAATTATTTAATGATTCAATTTTAGTTGATCTTTATGCAATATAGATAATTTGTTTTGACGAATTCAGTTGGCGCAGCCAAAGATCAGAAATAATGTGTTTTTTTTACAACAATATTTATCAATTCCAATGAATGTGAACTTTGTTATGCATTCAATCGTATTAACTTTAAATTTAATATTTATAAATGATTAAATTAATTTCTATATGTTTTCCCTAATGGTTGACTTTTTGTATACAGTTATGAGCTCTTAATTAACTTAGTAACATCTCACTCAACAAGTTCCTAATGACTTATAAAATAACAACTTTTGGGCAATATTCGACTTCATTCATCAACATAGTATCCTTCAAGAGTGATACATTCATTCGAATACTTCTCTGACATTTCGATACCTTTCTTGTAGAATGAGAAAGGTATCGAAATGTCATTTATCTATGGCCTCAAAATACGCTTCAGTTTCGTCAATCACTTCTTCATTGGAGCCAAATCTCTTTCTCTTGGTTATTCTTTTTAGGTCTGCAAACAGGTAGTAGTCGCTGATAGCCAGATCTAGAGAATACGGTGGATGAGGAAGCAATTCAAAGTGCAATTCGTGCAAAACGTTTTGATCGACTTGTGACACGGTACTTTGTCTTGGTAAAAGAGCATTTGTCGTCATTTTCTCTCAATTTCTTTCTTCAAACGCACCAAAAACGCCTATAATACACGCTATTGATGGTTTTTCCTTTAGTGTCCACTCAGATGACGACCGATTTGCGATTTCACTATGGAGTGTAGTGGTGGATCCAGGTTTCATCCATTGTTAAATCCCGCATAATTTTTTTTTTATTTCGCTTGAACAGCTCCAAACAGCGCAAAATGGTGAATACACTGTCTTCAGATATCTTCAGGGTATCAGCAATCTCACGCAACTTCAATTTACTTCATTTTTTTATGTTTTCTGCAACAATTGCCGAATTTGGGCGACCAGAGCTTTCAACATCATTTGGCGAGAAGAGTCGCCATAACACGTATGAAGCCATTTATTTGCATGGATGGTATTTTTTCCCATCAAAAAGCAATGTTTTATCAACACACGAAATTGAAATTTTTCCATTATTTTGAAACATACAAAAGTACCGTCACTAAAACCACTATATTTTATTTACTCTGAATATCTTAGATTTTTTTAAAGTTTATAAATTGAAATAGTCAAACATTTCCGGTTTCCGGCGCCCTTAATATGTCAGTTTTTTCTGCGGCAATCCAAATCAAAACAGTGCAAACTTTATGTTAATAAAGCACATTGTTGGGAAGCCCTGCTATAGCAAATATACTTTTATTTGCATATTTTTTAAGAAAAAATTTAATTACTTAAATTCTGATAAAACTTTTTTTGTTAATCGAATTTTTTGCCATTTATTTCAACGACAAAAAATAGATTGCAAACCTTTTTTATTTAACAGAAATCTTCGCCATTCTTATAGGAACAAATGTTTTCGAAATGTTTCCAAAGATAATTGTGAATTTCATAAAGAACATACAAATGATTTAATTCGTTGTTATCTCCAAAAAAATAATTAAAAATATTGACAAATATTTTCCAAATAATAAACTTGATAGCAGAAAATTGTGAATTGGAGATCTTTATAATAACCAACCTACGATGACACACTGCTAGAATTGACAAAGGTTAAAGTTTGAATTCACTTTTTAAGAAAATGAGTTTTCTACAATTTTGGATACATATTCGGAAGGAATTCCACACATCTTCACCATCGCCATAAAAGATTTATTGACTTTTGCTTCCACATATAAAAGTTCTGTTCTTTGATTTATGAATTATTATTAAATTTGGAATAATATGTAAATAAACTCACTATTGCTAGTCTCGAAAATATGTTATCAGTGCTATAGTGAATCCGCACTATTCGAAGTACTACGGTATATTTTTAATATAATAATTGATAAACACAATTAAATTGAATATTGTTTGTATTTCAGGTAAGTTTATTTCTTAAAACAGTAAAGTTACGATCTTCTTATTACTATTATTTTTGTATCCGAATAGAATAATTTAGATTATCTATCTCACGCAATAAATAACAAAATTACCCCCGTTTTATATATTGCGTGACATAAATAACTTATAACATAACTAGCGAAAAAATGATATATATTTATTTGTTCTTATAATACAAAAAAATAAGAAAGTAAATCCATATAAAACTATTTTTAGGATGAATGAACGATAATTATATATTTAATAAATTTGATGCAGAATTAAATATACTTTTTATGTTAACTCAAAACATTAGTTATATGAATTTCAAAAGTATAAAATGGGTTTCGTACAGAAAAATATAGAATATGGTTAGAAGTTATTATAACCAATATTATTAATGTTAAATTATGAAATTCCAGTAATTAGCGAAGGAAATGAATGGTTAAGTATTGAAAATTATTATTTAAGTAATTCTCATTGACGTATTATTCGATACAAATATTATGAAAAACAATGTAAAATAATAAGAACATTGGAACAACCAAAAACCACTAATTGTGCGATAACAATTGAAACAGTAAGAACAAAAATGTAATGAAGAAATACAAATAATAAATGTACATCTCACTGTCATGTGACTACTATCAATAGCATTTCCGTGTGCTGATTGATAATACATTAACGACAATAATGCATATAAATTATGATTATAAAGCTTGTAATAAAAAAATATAGCAGATAAACAAATTACAATAAGCAGAGTTTTGTAATACTTTTTCATTAACCATACTGTTTTTAAAAGACCATTACTTTCTTTTGTTCTTTCTTCATTTGAAAATAAAACTTGACAAAGGATTTGTACCTCTAGTTTTATATTTTATGTTATCAATATATTACGGAATGGTGAACCAGCTTTGCTGAACTTAATTGCTTGATGTAGAGTCTTTTGAAGTGCAAAATAGAAAACTGGTCATTTCGAGCATAATAAAATATTTTATGTTTTTCCTGGGTAATATTTGCACTTTTTTTTATTTCTACAAAACTTGATATATCCTGCCCAAATATATTGGGTTGGCAATTAAGTGATTGCGTATTTTAAATAAGAATGAAAATTCAAAATTTTTGCCAAACTGTTTTAATTTTTTTGAATGCATTTATGCGATACATTGAGCTTTTTTGCCATCTCACGTGTTGTGGTATGACTATCTGAATCGATAATGGCGTTGATGGGTCTCATCAACGATCTGGCCGTTGCGCATTTTTCAGTGAAATCACCAGAACGAAATTTGGAAAACCAATTTGGACAGTGCCTTTCTTTGAATATACGGCATATAACTTCTTTTGTGCTTGCGATGCATTCTTGCCTTTTCGGAAATAATAAATAAAATATGTCTGAAAGGCGCGTCTTGTTCTTCCCTTTTAAAATTGGGATCAAAACATAACTAAATAACTAATCGATACATTTTTTACTAAATTGAAGGTGGGAGTCCATACAACAAGAAAACAATATAGGTTAGGTGCTTTGAACACGTTGACAAAATCCGCAGTCACTTAGTTGCCAACCCAATAGATTATATTTTGAAATAAACATATATGTAATATATGTATTTTCTAACAAAATATAAATAAGTTAGATATTGAAATAGTAAACCAGTTTACATTATTATGTGCACTTAGTCTGACGAGGTCAAATTTAAGTAATTAACAAAACTGCAGAATAACTTAATAAACTATTGGTTCCCATTATTCAAACTAAAACTTTTTTTCAGTCTTGCCACAAAATACATCGAACCAAATTGAATGTACATTTAGTGCCCCATTCGCACGATGATGTGGGCTGGCTGAAAACTGTTGATCAATATTTCTTCGGAAGTAAGTAACCAAAAAAGAAAATCGAACAGAAGAGATATAATAGTATTTTGGAGCGAAGGGGGTTTCATGTTCGCACATACGTTTCAGGTAAAACAAATATACAAATGGCCGGCATCCAGTACATAATTGGTTCTTCGATAGACGCTCTACGCTCGAATCCGGACAGAAGGTAAATAGATTTACGCAGTATTATTTATTAATGTATCAACAAGAAACCCGATTAAAACATTTCGCAAATATATTTAATAAAGAGAGTTGCAGATTCCCGCTGACCTTTACAGCTTTATCGCCGAATAAAGAAAAACAAAATAAATAAATATGTACATGCTTGCGGTAATGCGCAAACTGGAAATGAATAACAACAGATAAACATAGTATTTATATATACTGTGTAAACAACGAAATGAAGAAAATATGGATATCCGCAAATAATAATATGTTCTGGAATGTTCTGATTTTCTTGTGTTTTTTATTTATTTTGCAATCGTTTGGTTCCCTTTCTGTAGGTTTATCCAGGTGGAAACTGCGTTTTTCTGGAAATGGTGGAAGCAACAATCGGAACAAGTGAGGGATGATGTGAGGTATCTCGTGAACAATGGAAGATTAGAAATCATCAATGGAGCTTGGAGTATGAATGACGAGGCGGCGACGCATTATCATTCAATCATCGACCAGTTTACGCTCGGCTTAAGGTATTATCAATCAAACAAAGAACACATTATAATAATAATCGTTGCATAGAAAGGTCGAGACATTCGGTTTGATTATAATTGCGGCTGTTAATGCTGCATGTCCAAAAATTAACACATTTGTATGCAGCATCCTACAGCAATGTAGACAGATTAAAATTAGCATTTGCAGCACAAGTATTTTTAGAGCATGGGACAAATACAAATAAAAAAAAGATATAAAATAATATTGATTTAACAAATCAATTGTTATTATGTTAACAAATATAGAGATATTAATTATATTAACTTTCAAAATTGAGTTATTTAAAAAGAGTGGTGACATTCGAAATAATCAGATATGTCAACTGTTCAAATTATCAAATCGTACTATAGTGAATCTGTACTGATCGAAACGGTATTATACGTGGAATTGATGTATTATTAAAAACAACATACTTGTAAATCAGTTCCAGCAACAAAAATACAAGACCTATTATATTTATGTTCTATAAATACTTATTCTCGATTTTTAATGATTTTATTTTTCATATCTATAGTTATTAGTTATTAAATTTTACACAAAAATAAAACACAAATAATATATCCAAACATAAGTTTGGAAAAATGTGTGATCATAAACGACACTAAGATGCAACTAGAATGACTACTAACACCAGAAACTGTTTGCCAATTCACACACGGTGAAGTGGGTTTACGCTTGACTCCATTTGTTTGTATTACTTGTATCGATCCGGGTTTTCTCTGGAGATACATAGATTGTTGTGTCTGAATACAAGTTTTGGAAATAATGTAGTATGAGCACTTTTCTTCACTCGTTTCACGAAACCAGTGAAGAGTCATTTTTGCTACAATTTGTTTTGCTCGTTAAACGAAATGCTCGTTATGGTTCCACTTTAACAGAATATGTCGTGATTATCTCTTTCAGTTCATTCTATTCAGTTTCCTGTACAAAATGTTTGATATTAATTTTTAGAAGAGTTTTTTTTATTATAAGAGAAAGTTGAGTAGTATATATATAAATTATTATAACTGAAAAAAAATCTTTCCTTTCAATGTGCAAATTACATCGATTATCTGGGTCTCATGTGTTTACTTATTTTATAAAGTAAACAATAAAATTGTCTCTGCAACTGTAGATTTGTAATTATATTTTCTATCCATATTTTGTATGCGTGCGAGGTCTTCATATAAGCTTTAGATTTTAAAGTATATTTCTGAACTAGTTCTTAAAATAATTTGAACTATATAGAAACAGCGATATAAGATAACCGTATAATGAGAGAGGGATGTCGAAATTATAGTACAGCGATGTATTTATTATATAAAAAATTTAAATTTACTAAATTTTTCAACTGAAAATATATATGCAACCAATATAACATAATTATGAATTTATCAGGACGATAAATGATACTTTGGGTGAATGTGGACAACCGAAAATCGGATGGCAGATAGACCCATTCGGCCATAGCAGGGAGATGGCTTCAATCTTTTCCCAATTGGGATTCGAGGGTCAATTTTTCGCGCGCCTGGACTACAGAGACAGTAAACTACGGCACAACAGGTCCGAGCTGGAAATGGTTTGGCAAGGAAGTCCGTCTTTGGGTAAAGATTTAGGCAATACTCGATACGTAATTGCAACTGAATCGTGAACATCCATTCCAGGGAAGAGCTCCAATTTATTTACCGGCGTTCTGTACGACTTCTACACGACTCCCGCTTATTTCTGCTGGGACGTTCTGTGCTCCGACGTTCCCATAAACAATGACGAGGAGAGTCCGGATTATAACGAGCTGGACATCGTACATAATTGCAGGACGCTCTTGAAATACATATCTTGATTGAATGCGATTGCAGGTGAACCGATTCGCGGATTACGTCTTGAAGGGTTCGAAATATTTCAACACTAACAATTTGCTGGTGACAATGGGCGGTGATTTTACGTATCAGGCGGCCGAAATGTTCTTCAACAACATGGATAAACTTATTCAGTAATATGATGACGAAAAATTATAATTCCCACACTTTGAAATCAATTTATATCTTTCCCCCCATTTTCAGAGGTTTCAGAAAGTTTAGACCCGATATTAATATTATTTACTCGACACCATCATGCTACTTGAAGGCCGTAAACGAAATCTCCAAAGGCAATGGAATCAAATATACTGTTAAAACTGATGACTTTTTCCCCTACGCCTCGAAGACTTATTCCTATTGGACCGGCTATTTTACATCCAGGCCAAATTCCAAACGATTCGAAAGACAAGGAAATAACATTTTACAGGTATTCATATATTAATATATATTTAGTTCATCATTCAACCTCGGTTTTTAAACATGATTTGCGTACTGACATACTTGATGATAGTTTGTTAGAGAATCAAAATTCTGTTTAGAAAACCATACGTTTCTATTTGGTTTTACAGTATTTCAATATAGATAATTATATGGAAAAGAGGATACATTTATTTAATTTGATCATAGGTAACAAAACAATTGGTGACATTCGAGAAACTCTTGAACGGAAAAGACTATTCGAAAAATTTGACACTGCTGAAGGAAGCAATGGGTATAATGCAGCATCACGATGCAATCACGGGAACCGAGAAGCAGCACGTCGTCGGCGATTATGTGCGTCTGCTGGAGAAGGGAATAAAAGCGGCAGAAACAAACGTGGGTTCGATTATTCAGTAAGCAATGGAATGGAAATATAGAAAGGGCTATGGGAAATATTGCATTTTCGGTTTTCAGTGATCTACTGAGCAAAGATGGGACGAGCGGGAACTTGAAAATTAAATTGGAATCGTGTCTACTATCAAACGTCAGCTATTGCCATCCATCCAAAGCCGATCAGTTCACAGTCGCTGTTTATAACCCATTGAGCAGAAATGCGTCCCATTATGTTCGCCTGCCAGTGGATAAAACACGCTTTCAAATAACTGGATCGAATGGTAAGCGATAAGCAGAAAATCCGGTGTTTATACATAATTCTCTAATTTAAGGCGACGATATCCCGTATACAATAATGCCGGCTATTGCAAACTTCACTGACTTCGCCGATTCATCGCCATCTGATTTGGTCTTCCTGGCTGATGATATTCCTCCGTTAGGTTTGAAATATTTTCATTTGAAGGTTCAACACACCAGAGACATTCCGAAAATAAAAGAGGTTGTTCAACATAGATTGGGAGATGAAGTATGTATTTTCTTTAATAAATTTAATATAAGTTGTAAATTTTTAATTATTTTTAGGTTTCTGGATTTACTATCGACGATGTTACTGGTCTGTTGCAGACTGTAACTTTAAATGGTGTCACATTAAAGGTGAAACAGGAGTTTATGTATTATCACGGAGCAAATGGTTCAAATTTAGGTGAGGAGAATCAGGCTTCCGGTGCTTACATCTTCAGACCAGCGGATTCCACTCGAACTGCTGTCTCCTTTGCGGACAAAGTGACCTTTACGGTTCACTCGAGCGAGTTTGTGGATGAGGTCCACCAGACGATCAATTCTTGGATAAAGCAAGTCATTCGTCTGTACAAACAAGAAAATTATATAGAATTTGATTGGGTTGTGGGACCCATCGACATCAGGTATGCCAAAACGAAACTCTTAACGTTTTCGTCTCGTAACTAGAATCGATTATTTAGTGTTCATCTTTTTGTTGTTGTTTTAAAGTACTAATTCAGGGACGGAAGTAATATCGCGTTTCACGGCCGATGTGGATTCGAATGGAACGTTTTACACAGACTCGAACGGTCGTCAAATGTTGAGGCGTGTACGTGACTACAGGGAAACTTATGATTACACCGATGAGGAGCCCGTGTCTGGTAACTACTACCCAATTACGTCAAGAATTACTCTCAGGGACCATAGCCGGAATTTGGAAATAGCGGTCCTTAATGACCGGGCGCAAGGCGGCTCCAGCTTACATGACGGCCAAATGGAGCTCATGGTAATTAAATGCAAAACGATTGACGACCGCCACGAAATTATTCCTCTAATAGGTTCATAGAAGGCTACTCAACGATGATGATTTTGGGGTACAGGAGGCGTTAAACGAAGTGGAATTTGATAAAGGCGTCATCGCCAGGGGCCAGCACTTCCTCACCTTCGGACCCATTAAATCTGACGGTATTAATTTATTTATTCCATATTTAATGCATGAATTAAGTATTAAAACACCTTCAGTTTCATTCTAATTTGGATACAATCTCTATAGTCATTAAAAAAACTAAATTATGAAATAATTTATTCATTTATACACAACACATTAAATTTTATAATGATTTAGGTGGTTTAAAATTTCTTTTTGTTTGGTTAGATTAATTATTTTGTACAAAGTCAATACAAATCATTCCCCGGGAGTATTGATTAGTCACAATTGAAATTGGAATTAGTCATAACAGATTGAAATATATGAAGATTTAGTCGATTTGGATTTTTTAAATATCTTTCAGATTGACACAACATTTAAAATTAAAAATAAATTCTATTTTTTTTCTTCTAAAAAATCTGAAAGCGTATCGAAAATCATTCTTCTATGGCAGAAAGTCTTATCGTCAATAGCCCTTTGTAGCAATTTAATTGTATTGTGTTAAGTTTATATTTGGGCAATTTGTTGCAGTAAATATTATTAATAATATGTTCATCCATTCTTCATGATAATTAGCTTCATTTCATGATACTTTGTTTCAATAATTTTGAATAATGTAATAATGAAAAAATTTAAAATGGCAAATCTGAGAAATTATAATCTGAGACAATCAAATGTAATTAATTATTTTATTCATAAACGTAGAATGCAGATGACATCACAAAAAAGTTAAGAACCACAGAGAAGATGGACTAGACAAATATGTATCACTATCTTTAAATCGTCAATAATAAAATATTATTTACACAAGATACGTTTGCAACAAACGTATGTTGTTTATCTTTCTTATTTGTGCTTCTGCATTAGACAATTAACATTTCTTATTGTGTTGCTTTGAACAATGTTTATTTGTTTGTATTCACATTGATTATCAATTTATCGATGCAATAGAACTCCACGTATTTAATACATCACAGACAAAGATTTCTATTTATATATATTTTCGCTATTATAATAATTTAATTTCATGTTTTTTTTCAAAAAAATATCACATTTAACATAATATTGAAAGTTAATGAAGTTTATGTATCACTTAAGTCTATTTATAAAATTTCGGTTTATATTTACTATTAATTAATCATTTATTTATTATATAGATTCAAAGACATCATCTGCTCTGCAAAGAGATTTGGCGCAAAAGAAGATACTAAATGCATGGGTATTTGTTGGAAACGCCACCGGGGACGAGTTTTCTTACGAAAATTTGAAAGAAAAAATCAATTTCCAAGTACGTGAAATATAAACATAGAAATTCTTTCAACTAAATATTTGTTAGTTTTCTGGTTTGAGGCGAAGCTTACCACCGAACGTACAGATTTTGACGCTGGAGCCCGCAGATGATAGATCGATTTTATTGAGATTGGAACACGTTTTCGAAGAAGGCGAGGACGATGTCCTGTCGAAGCCGGTTGCAGTTGATATAGCGGTGACAATATATTCTTTATTTATTATGATTGTATTTTTATTTTTCATCTTCTATTTTACAGGATTTGTTTACACTGTTCAATATCGAAAGTATTCGTGAGACTACGCTCGGCGCCAATCAGTGGCTAGATGACAATGAGAAACTCGAGTGGGATCTGCATGAATATTCAGATGGAAGGGCATCTGTTAATTATATTGAAGAGTCTCGTGTCGGCTCATCTTTGGATGACTTTGTTGTTACACTCACTCCGATGAAAATAAGAACATTTATTATATATGTTTAGAAATATTTGTATTAATTTAATATAAGCGAAATAAAGTTTTTTTTTAATCTTAAAATTTAATTTGAATTATATATCATAGATTACTCTTTAGTCATACCTAGTATACAAGATATGATTAAATATACAAATTATAAGACATTTCTTGTGGATTGTTCATGAGTCTACCGTCCGTTAGTAATTTTCTTTGATGCAAGGTGACAGCAACTATCATTTCGCGGCCCATGAAAAATATAACGCGATACATTATTAGGTCAACTACATGCTGAGAAACGCTAGTACATAATATTACTTAATAATAATATTGTAAAAAAATAAAGTATGCGAAAAAGTCATATTTTCAAAATATGCAAGTAAGTTATTAAGATGCTTGGGAAGGCCGACTAGCGTTATGGACACAGAAACGCAAAAACTGTTTTTGTTGTTTTCATTTTCTCAAGTGTCCGTTTATCGTTTTTATTAGAATAAAACTGATTTTGTTCGTCGATTTATAACTATGGGTGAAACTTTAATTGACCACAACACACCAGAGACGAAAGAAGGCAAATACTGTTTCGTCGGCAGTAAAGGTTATGTATGTTAATATTTATACACAGTATACATTCTGCCCTATTTTATATTAATATAATTTTTAATATAAATAAGTAACTTTTTCCTTAAATTTGTTGGCTATACAATTGTCACTTGAGGAACTCAAATCAATCTGTATTAGTTAAGGTAGTAATATTTTTGTTATTAAATTTAATTAAATCTATGTGGTATCTCTAGAATTTTACATTTTTTTATTTTGAATGTTTGGTTTACTAATAGATTTTCCGCTAGTTTTTCTGGGTGTTATTGTAGTCTGTCATAGTACTTTTCACTAAATTTTGTAATTACAGTTTTTACAAGTTAAAATGTGATTAATATAAAGAAACCAGGCAATTCCGGCAATTTTATCGTTTGTTTTCTTGCTATTCTAAAAATTAATCACTCAATATACCTCACATTTTTTTAATACATTAATATTTTTTTGGTATAGAAATGTTCAAATCAAAGAGTTTTACTGAAGTTACCAGATTTATTACATAGAATCAACACTTATCCAAAGCAATGGTGCAACGCGATAATAGATATTTTTGTAATAATGATAATTTTGAGGCAAAAATACCTTTGGCAGGAGTGCATAATGGTGTATAGATTCAACCCGTTTTCCTAAGACGCGATTCCATTTACCAAAACTTGCAGCCGAGCAAAGACATTGTGGATTTCTGCGAGAAACCTCGACGACACAAGTGGAAAATTATATCAGCATTTGAAACTACAAGAGTCACACTCGAATATGAAGGCAATTAATAAATAATTCTATAATAATATGAATGTACTGATTCTCCAATAAGCAATATCTATCACTGGTCCAAATTTTCTCAATAATTGACTTTTTAAATAAATCTATGTTTTAAAAATAGTTTCTTTCACTAATATTTCTGCTTCTTGTATTAAACTTGAAGAAATTGATAATATTAATTATTCTTCTATATTTAATATAGAATGTCTCTAAATAATCTATCACATTCTTCAAAAAATTGAAGGAAGAGGATATTAAGGCATTTTGTAATCGTTAAATGTTTCACGGTTTTTGAAGGAAAGAAAGTTCAAGAACAAGACTATTTTGAAAATTAAAGAGACTTATAATTTTATTTAATATTATACATTATTTTTAAATAAATAAAACTTATATTATATAAATACAAAATTTATGCTGTTTTTTTTATAAATATATCTATTGTTTCTACGTTTTCATGGAGGAATCTGACACCTCCACCCAATATCTCGGCATCTTGCTTCTCAATCAAAGTTCGCTAATTATAAATATCATTAAAACAGTGAATCACCGTTTCAACCTAATAGCCGGCCTTAGGTCCAAATTGGGAGGGTGCTCTACTGAAACACTACTACACATTTACAAAACATACATCCGTCGTGTAATCACATACCCCATCGTAATTCACACCCTCATTTCACCACAATTATTAAAAAAACTGTTACAATTCGAAAGGAAAATAATCCGGAAAATCCTAAAGCTACATTACAAATATCCTTCAGCTCAACTCTACGTACTTGTTCCCTTTCCCACTATTACAGATTTTATAAAAACACTCCAAGGAAAATTAGCTCAAAGAATCCAAATACATAACCATCACACCCTTTCTTTATTCAAACTTTCTCCCAACACAAATTCCATTCCCACCAGCCAAACTGGTGCAAAATCTGGAATCTGATGTTCCCATATTCAATGATCTGATTCAAAACATAAATCCATTCTTTCTGTATTGTCTTTCTATTTCTATATCTATTTCTTAATGTGTATGTATCTGTCTCCAATAATGTGTAAAATTTTTAACTTGTGTTCTCTAAAATGTGTATCTTTAAACTATGTGTTATCTAAAATGTGTAAATCTTAAATTGTGTTAAATAATGTTCTGACTTACTTTACAAAATGTGCATCTAATCCTCATAATGTAATTTTTTTAACAAAATCTGTAACTCATAAACTGCGTACTGAAAGGCTTAAGCAGTGTGACTACCCATGTATAACCAAATATGTAACCAATATCACACATATCAATAAACATAACCAACGAACTTGGCTTAATCGACATGTAAGACACATAAGACTAATTACAAATACTTATTCTACGTAAAATATTATTTAAAAAAAATGGAATGGGAGTTCGAGGAGTAAGGCACGTTTATGAAGCTCCGCTTTAGGTTGCTCCTTTGTGGAATCTGCCAATTCTGCGTCTTGGTTCCGAGTTGAAAATATGAAGGAACGTTTTGATAAGAAGCTTCTTTGCGTAATCTTTCAATTCTGCGTTTTGGTTCCGAGTTCAAAATAAGAAGGAATGTTTCTATTGGCCACTGCTCTCTATGGAACTGCCTATTATCCATCTTGGTGATTGGACACAACAATAATGTTTGGAAACCAGTGACTTATAGATATTTTTTTTCTTTATATTTTATTGAATAAAAACATTTAATTTCAAGCTACCAATCTTGTTGTACTCAGAAATGTTAATTTATCTACTTACAAAGTGGATGCCTTTTCGCCAGATTATTAATTATTATTATTCATAATTAATACCAATAAATTATTGTTATGGTATTTGTTTTCGTTGACTTATCCATAATATACAATTAATAATCTAATTATATTTTCGATGTTTTCTTGTTGTTATTGGGAATAAGTCTATATCATATAATAAAATATACTGTCGGGATTATGGTTGTCGGGTTTTTGATACTGTCGAGTTTTTGGTTGTCGGAATTTTGATATAGACCCGTTAAATTCCATTATCACTGGTTTTAAAATGTTGAGTCATTTGTACCATTTGGAATAGAATGAACTAAAATAAAATAAAACTCTAGTAATGTGAACAAAAACATATTTGTTCTAAAGTAAATGTTAACCTTTGTTTTTATTAATGTTCATAATTATAATAGCAATGGTAAACATCCAACGAAACAGTTTACTTAGATAATGTCCGCAATCATGCTTATTGTTTATACTGTATAGGATTAACATAAAATTATTACGACATATAATTTTCAAAGAATCGCAAAGAGCTTTTTTACCTTGCCTTTGACGAATGAATGCTTATTACGTGGCAATGCCAAAGTGTGAAAGTTTAGCAGTCCATATCCTCACGCAACATCCGCTTGTGTCGGAAAATTTAACGCCTCACGTTAATTATCCCCACGGCGATCCGCTACAAAACATTGTTACGATTGCGTGCGAAAAGGCGTTCCTATCTCGGTAACTGGAAGTGTTATCGAATTCCGGTTTGGGTGCTTTACAAAGCAGTTTGACGTGTCATTTACAGTCTCAAATCGGCCACAATTGAAAAATATTATATTCCTATAATAAACATTGTTAAACACTGATTGTACAATGAAAACAATTGAAAACATATAACGGAATATAAGGAAATGTATTCTGAAAATAGATTCTGATTGTATTGATATAAATATATTGTTACGGAAACGTGATGAGACAATAGGTTGGTAACGAGTTTCAGACATGAATACAATATCTGAAATGGCCATAAATAATAAATAAAATAAGTCAATCGGTATAGTTTAGATAAAACTTCTAATCGTTAATTACCAGTTATGTTCACCAATTTATCTACGCTTCCATCAACGTATATATAATTGCATGCATGTTTAAATAGTTATATACACAACTCAGAATTGTTAAATAATGTTCGTAAATTGATTTAAACTAAACTGTTAATCAAAACTGTTCAAATAATTCGTTGGAAATTTTAGAGTAAAAGTAAGACAACAATTAATTTAAATTTAAATCGTAACTAATTTCATTGACTTTAAATCAGGTAAAATACAATTGATGTGCGCAGAAAGACCTCTGGTCTTTATAATAATAATTATTATTTTAAAATTGATATAATCTTATGAACATATAGAACATAGTTTCAAAATATAGAAAACTTTAATGAATTATAATAATAATCATCTATTAGCCAAAAAGAAATGAAAACAAATTCAATATAAATATGTACAGCAATACCTCGCATAGTGCGGTTAATCAGTTCTGCATATATTCTATATTGTTTGAAACCGGACTAATAGAGGAACTAGATACATACCAAATTAGATTCAATTAAAAATAGACTATACAATCTATAAATGAAAAAAAGAACAACATATCTGGCAAAAGCATTTCTGCTCGATTAAATATAAATATTATTAAATTTAAAATATTCCAAAGTCTAATGGTATGGCAAATCCATATGCTTGAAAATTAGATATAGCGTCCAAATTCCCTTTTAGTTCAATCAATTCTTATTGTAATCAATATTGGTTAAGTTGATTTCAAATAGTTTCATCTAAGAATTTAAGACGGGACATCTACTTTTTTCGAAATCTTGTATAATGTTAAATGCAAAATAAGTTTATTGATTGAAATAATTCCAAGAAAATATTGATCATTAGAATAAAGACTCTCGTTAATAAAGCTTTACTTAAAAGGAGCAATAAATTTTATAAATTTTTAGTAATCACTTTTAATTTAACAAACACGTCATTTTACACATTTTGTCAAGACGATGTTATTTTATGTTTATTTTCCACAATGACGTGGGTGGTTAGCCAAAAATAAGGTCAACGTTCGTTTCTAAATATAAAGAATCGAAATGCTACGAAAAAAGTAAATATATGAACTATATCCGATAACAATGGTGTTAGTATTTACAAATTTTATTGAATCATGAAGTTGCAACGGAATTTTCTTATATTTTTATAAATACTTCAATATTACAGTAAAAAATGTAATTATTCACACAATTGTATTTTTGTGATAAATCTTTTTGTAAATATATTGCTCTAAATTTATTAATTCTGGCAATACCGGGACTAAAATGAATAACTCATAAGTTTCAATAAGTATTACGTATTTTTAATTGCATACAAATACAGGTATCCCCCGACTTACGTACTCTCGGAGTCACAAACAAAATTCTAAAAGATTTAACTTGTTACAAAAATTGATAATTTCTTTAATAAAATATAATATTTTTGGATCTGTGTTTTTGCATTTGTTTCTTTCGTCGTTTTTTATTAAATAATTGAGATGTCTACATTGAAAAGTATTTGGTTTATTTTAATCTATTTTTTTCAAATTTATGCAGTTAGTAATACGGAATTTAACATATACAATAATAAAAACTATGATATAGTTTTTATATCACACCAGATGGGCAAAGATAAACCACGAGGCGTAAGCAAATCTTAGAGAACTGCTAGAACCAGTGACATTCCATGAACTGCTGGAAAGCCTAGAGATGTAAGATTTTACAGTAGGATATTTATCAGTGGTGTATTTTTTATTAAGGAAATTGATGAGCAGAGAAAACAGAAAGTGTTCAACTTTGATAGAGAGGGAAGCTCTGGCCGGGGATGGAAACATATAACAGTATATCCAGGTAGTCGACTTATATCATCGGATGTACTTTTGGATGAAAAATAACATCGAATATTGTAGGCAACACAGATGTATTCTAAAAAAGTCATGGCAGTAAAATCAAAGTTATTAGATCAAGTATCTTATGAAACAGTGCATACAATATACAAATATATTCATATAAGCTACAAATGATGTAGAAGACCAACGCATTGAAATGATTCAAACACGGAAAAGCACCAGTTCGTAATATTTTTGAAAACTTTCATTGTTAATTATATTTTTTGTAAATAAACTATATCATTTTGTAGTAACATGTGTTTCCTTCCACTTTCATCAATATTTCTTTATTCTATATAAATTTAATTTAATTGAAAAATATCAATTTAATGACTTAAATTTTTATCAGCTTTTTCAAAGTAATAAACTTATGTATGTGAATATAATATATAAATTTGGAAATAATACTACTTAACATTTGGGTGAACAGGTTGAGGTGTAATAAATATAATTTAAGAAATATATCAAGATTCCAAAAAAAATCTTAAAATAAAAATAATAGACTCAACATTGAGATGACCCATATTCCACAATTAGTACAAGGCCGAACGCTGAAGATTTCCGGAATTACGATTAAAGTGAAACTAATGATTGTAATAGTTGCAAGTAGTATTTTGTGCATAAACTTTGCTTATAGAGGTGTAATGCAAACCGCATTTGCTGGTGATTATCTGAGTGCTAATGCGAATACAGTTTTTGTTATAAGATGTATTATTATTATTTATTTTTAATTAGGAAAGTTGATATCTAAGCGATGATGCAATTAGAATCGATTTTTATGTGGAATGGTGTATACGCTCCAGTTCGCAATCGCGATCCAGACTGGGATTTTGGCGGATGACGTCGTTCCCGTTCTCTCCGTTAGCTCTTCTGTTTGTGTATACGTGAAAGGAGTGGCGGGGCAGGCGAGAGGGACGGTCTGGAAGTGACGTAACGGGTGTATCTGAAAGTGAGGGGCTATGGAGGTGGAGAGTTTGCCGGCGGTTGCGGATGGTGGTGATGGTGGGGTATACACAATGGGGGGTTGAAACGCGTACGGGCCGCGGCGTTCTTCGACGGCGACGCCGACGCCTGCGTCGATAGGCTGAAACATTCACGGCCGAAGCGATCGACTCGGCGCCAAGCTAAACCCCGGCGCATGCATCAGTACGCCGTGTACCGTGCCGAGTGATCTCGCCTGAGCCGCTGCCGCCGCCACCCACCATTCTACGGTCCTCTGAACGGCCGAAACGGATCGCAAGTAAATAGAATCACGCAAATATAAATAGCCAAGAACGATAACTGAAAGAAGTTAAACGACACCCATTCACGACGAACCGGGCACCTGACATTACCCTGTCTGCTTGCCTGTTCAATGCAACACGTATGATCTTATGCAACCGATGGGTGATGCCAACTGCCGGAGATCGGATCTAGGTTGGTGCCAACACTTTCACAGAAAATAAGGGCAAAATAAATGGTGGTGTGCATGTATGCGTGTGTATGTATACACGCATTAATGCACACACCCCCTCCGCCCACCAGAACCGAACTACAGACCTGATCCTACCCTAAACCATCTGAACACTTCTCCCTCGGTCATGGCTGACACAACAAAAACACGAGGATCGAAACAGTTATCCCGTTCATAACTGAATTATGCTTTTATCTCTGCGTGTTCTTAAAAGGGTATGTCACACACGTCTGAACGGAAATCTACATTGACATCACGCTTTCCGATAGCGAATTAATCGATTTGTGATGAGTAAATTCGATGCACGTTAATATTTAAAGACTTTACTCACTTATATTACTAAATGAACATATTAATCATCTCTTTTGAACAGAGCAACTACAAAGGAGCATCGAAAACAAAAATAAAGCATAATACACATCATAATAACATTACAATCAATCAATAACCCACAACAATATACTACTATAAAAATTACACGTTTTGTTATATGTTATTGAGTTACATATACGCCTATAAATCATATTTAGTTTAAATGATAAGAATATATTCTTCTCCAATGTTTCCCATTTATCGAGAATTTAATGTTTTTTTTTTTCGAGAAATTGGATTTTGTCAAATTATTGCAGAAACAAGATTTCGTGAATACGGCTGAAATATAATAGCTTTATTAGAGTCCTTTCGAATGGTCGTTGTATGTCTGATCCTAGAGATTGAACATTGTTAACTGCAGAGAAGGTTTTTTTCGAAATTAGACAAGATTAAAAGTAAGCTAAGAGAGAAATTATGCATAATTATAGGATAAATAAGTAAAAGAGGAAATAGATAACATTATATCTTTATTACTTCATATTAATCTTCCTGGAAATAAAATTGGTAAAGAAATATTCAATAAATTATATGCTAGTTGATATTGAAGTTAATGAAGTTCTAACCAATTGAAATAATAAAATTAATTAATTAATAACGAAGACTGTGAGAAAAATAAAACCTGGCGTTACTGACAATTAAACACGAATATTATATATTTCAAAACATGATATATAAGAATAACAAACATGGAACTACATTAATACCTTGCATATTACGCAATCGATACTGTTAATATGCTAAACTGTTTGATATACATATTAGTGAAGGAGCTAAATACAGAAATAATCTGCACAAACAGAGAAGTGAGATAATAAAAAAAGAAAAATCGATGATTTAAGTACAAAAAAATATGCATATGTTATATAATGTACAGTTAAAAAAATGAATTATAACTATTATTTGATATTATATAAAATAGAAATTAAATAAACTGAAACTATAGAAAAAGTAAACAAAAATATTCATCAGGTGTAAATCAAGTTAAAATGTATGATATAACAAAACTAAAACAATCATAAATAATAATCATAGTGAAAAGCATTCATTTTATTAAACAATGATGTTTCATAGAGAATTAACTAATAATATTTTATATAATTAAAAAACATAAGCAATCAATACAAGAAACTGACATGTCTCCTTGAAATGGCCTCGATTAGCTCGCACAGAAGGGCTGATTCGGAAAGCGTTGATAAATCGGCGCTACTTGATGTTTTTTTAGCAATATAAAATAAATTACCTAACACAAACTACTCTTATTATCGAATAAAATAGACAATTATTCTCAGTGTTTGGAACACTCAGATTTCAAGTAGCTACAATATTTTGATATTGTTGAGTATGTAGTATGGTGTTTTGTTGCAATAAATGTTATTATATATCATAAGTTTACGATTATAAACAAGTTATAATTATAAATACTAGACACGACACTTAGCAAGCATTATGTAATAAGTGTGATAAATTAAGGAAAGAAAACTCTTCTCCTTTAACTCATCATTTTTACATATTATGCAGGTTTAGTTAATTAATGTTATTTTTTAACGAAATTCATTGACATGTACAGCGATATACTGCAATACCTCACAAAATGCAGTTTCGATCAGATCAGATTCACTATAGTACGGTTTGGAAACAAATGTTAATTGATAAAATGAAAATAAAATTTACATAATTGTAGTTTATACTTCATTTTCTCTATATAGCATATTCTCTTTTTTGTTGATTATTTACAAGTTGTTTAAAAGTCTTCCATTTTTCCGGTTTCAAACAGTACGGATGTAACCGGTTACTCGCATTATAGCTGTATTTAAATTTAATTTCAAATATAAATTCAAAAGCATATCAAAGGAAATAAATTAAAAACACTTTCGTATTTGATATATTTCACTAGCATTATAAAACTGTTACATTTATAATTTTGTTACTTCAGTTTTTTTTTAAATGTTGTTGTATGTATTCAAATTAATAAAGATTATAAAGAAATAGATTATTTTAATTAAATTCTTAATAACAATATGAAAACGCAAGAAAAAAACAATAATTTTAAATAACATGTAAGGTTTGGTTCATTAATATATATTATTATTTATAATTCTTTAGAACATAAGTATTATAAGCCTGAAAGACTGAATATTAAAAGTAAAACAAAAATAACTTTTACAAACAAATTTTTATATTTTGTATTATTTTATATGAAAATATAACGAATGGATTTTTTTTGGTATGTGTGAAAACAACATTCCTTAAATGACCACCATTTTCCTGTTCACATGGTTTTAGGTCATAAACGTCGGATTTTGGCTGGATTGTTCTTTTTGAGTTCTTGAATTGTTCGAAATTTATTTACGTAAACGTAAAAGTAGCACCACAAAAATAAATCTGGTGCCATCAAATCAGGTGACCGCGGATTCAGCATTTATGTTTTGAATCATTTGTTCACCGAAAACTTCATTTAGTTGGAATCATACCGAAAGTATCAAAGACGCCGTTGATTCCTTCTGGTTGTCCTTCCTCAATTTTATAACAAAATAGGAACCGATATTTTTAGCCATATAACCGCACCAAACAGTGCATTTTTGGGGATGCAATGGAAGCTGATGGGATTCTCAGAACCCCAAAATCATTAAAATGTTGACGGTATTTTCTCTGAGTTTCAATAATTGATCTTTCACTGGAATAGAAAAAAGTAATGAGTTTTACTCGTTGCTGAATATTATATGAAGCCATTTTAATATCTCAGGGATGCTGTATAAAAAAGATTGAAAAGACTTTTTCAAACCCTTCAGTCTATCAGCGCCATATGATGTTGGTAAAATAACATAAGGTAATTTAAAAAAATATAGTTATTAAATAAACAATAGCAATAGCTAATTATATATCTAAAATATTTATGTCGTATTAAACTTCTGATATCTTCTACTATTTCATTCGATAACTTTCTTATATATTTGTCATATTCCATGGAGCACAGAAGGTTAGATTATACGACTGGAGAACATTAATAAGTTATGTGTTATCATTTTATCTTCATTTTATTAAAAATTTTACTAAAATTCAAAATTAAGGAGAACTCGCTCAATAATATTTTCTATATTATATTATCGTTGGAGAATATGAAATCTCATTTTATATATTTCATATTTTTCTCAATTATATAATCTAATGCTATTTTGCCTAGTCAAAAGAGCTGAAATTATCTCTTTTTTCCATGTCCTTCCTTTGTCTTTTAATTTCATTTCAATTTAACTTTATCTTTGCTCGTTTATGCATACAGTATCTCGCATAGTTCGGCATCGATAAGTACGGATTAATTATAGTCCGGTTTGAAAATTTCAAAGCAAATTTTCAATTGAACAAATTAAAAATAAAATCTATTTTTTTATACCTAAATGATTGTTTTTTTATCGAGTCGCATTATACTGTTTATTTTTATGCGGTTTGAAAAAGCGCCTATTAATCCAAACAGACCGGAACCCGAATTATGCGAGACAAAAAAGATTACCGTACTTTTCATATTGCACAATTTATGTAGTATCGATAGATCAAATTGTAACAAACATGATAAACGTATTCCATCCAAATATGAAATATTTGTATTAAACACAATGTTTCCTTTGAATGTTCATTCATTTCAAAGATACAAACTGAAAGCCTATTTCAATTCCGGTGTTTACAGACTTGAAACTGGTTTTGTGCGCTAAATCGCCGCTGGGTATAAAAATAATCCCGCAAAAATTTCTGATCCGGAAGTTTATCTGTAAAATGAAACCATAAATGGGGCGTATAATACTGGGTAAATCCATGAAAAGTTTTTTTATTTCGTGGAAACTGGAGCATGTAAAATAAATATTGTTTTTTTTTGTATGCGCGTTATCTAACCGGTTTTTATTTGTAAAATATTTATAGAAAATAATAACGCTTATAATGATTTATTAACAATTCACAAACTTATTTGAAATTTACTTCCAACTTATCTGCATTTTGTCTTAGGATTCAATAAATATAAAATTAGTTATAAAAATGTTACTATTTACAAAAAGTATTTAAATAAATATAAAAAGAGAAATAAATATTATTTTTTTTTATGTCGTGTAATTTTATTTACAATCTGTTCATCAATGTGAACATTGAGTTAATTTAAGATCGCGGTTGACATTAGGTAGGTAATCTTTCCCCGTGGATATCATTATGATGCTTAGATTTTTAATTTGTTGGTTGGCTGTCGTCTTGTAGGTTAATTTCAGTAGTATATTGATGCTCTGCGATTTCCTTTCATTGTGAATCTGCTGCCATCTTTAACACTGTCATTGTCCATCGACTTGACTGAAGGTCCATATGCTGAACCTCATTCATTTCACTGTCCATCTATGATATCGATGGCCCTATTGCTGCAAGCACCGAAAGGGCTCGCA